AATTGTGCAATGTGATTTATAAAAAATAACTCGATTACCTTTATCACATAATTGACTAATACTAAGTAGATTATGCTTAAGTCCATCAACAAGTAAAACATTTTCAATAGAAGGGTTAGGAGAAATACTGATGCGACCAATACCGATGATTTTTCCTTTCTTATTGTCTCCAAAAGTAACAAAGCCTCCATCTTTGGATGACAGTGTAGTAAAGAAGGATTTATCTCCGGTCATGTGTCTGGAACATCCACTATCAAGATACCACTTCCCTTCTTTAGCTTTGGACTTAAAGCAAACCTACAAGATGACAATCAAGTGTTGATTTTTTGTACCCATAGTTTTTTGAGTCATTCTTGGTTAGTTTTGTTAGATCCCTTAACAATCAAAATCTTTTTAATTCCCATGTTTATATTATTTTTGAATGGACAAGAAGATATATAATGGTCTTTCTTTCTACAATAATAACAAATAATATGAGGATGAGTCATGAGAGGTGCCTTTTCAAAAATTGTATTGAGATTCTTTTGTTTTTTAATAGGGTCATATCCAATGCCCGCTTTATCGAAAACACATATTTGATTTCCAAGAAGCATGTTAAGATTACATAGAGTTGGAGATTTGGAGATTTGAAGAAAAGCTCTTCAATCTAAAGGTTTTCGGATAAGCAGAAATAAGACAGAGTACATAGAGTGTAAATTTAGTAACTGTAACAATGAAAGCAGAGAATAAGTGAAGATTGAGAACCAAGAATTGCCTAAGAGTGAATATTTTCGTTATTTAGGATCGATTATCACAACCGCAGGGGAGATTGATGCGGATGTGGCCTATAGGATTAACGCGGGATGGTATAAATGGAGAAGTGCGTCTGGGATACTGTGCGATAAATGAATACCCACTAGACTAAAAGATAAGTTCTATAAAATGACTTATAGACCAGCGATGTTGTATGGGACAGAGTGTTAGGTAACCAAGAAACAACATGTAGATAAGATGAGTTCAGTTGAGATGATGATGCTAAGGTGGATGTGTGGCAAGACTAGACAAGACAGAATTATGAATGAGTGTATTCGGGAATGGGTAGGAGTAGTACCGATAGAAGATAAGTTGAGAGAGAATTGATTGGGATGGTTTGGTCACATTCAACGGAGACCAACAGAGGCAGTACTGAAGAGATGCAATGCTGTAACGGTAGAGAGGAGTATTAGGGGACGGGTTACGCCTAGATTAACGTTGGCTAACGTTGTAAATAGAGATATGGATCTACTTTATTTGACTAACGAAATGGCTTTTGATAGGGCCGCGTAGAGAAGAAGGATTCATGCAGCCGACCCCATTTGATGGAACTTAAGGCTTGGTATGGTTTGGTTTGGTTATATTGAGATTATTTCTACCTTTTACAAAATTTTCAAGTGTTTTTGTTAAATCATTAATATTATTTTTTTAAGTAGTTTTCTCATTAAAGATAGTATCAAAATCATTTTTCAAAACAATTTTTTCTTTCTTTAATTCTTTTACATTAATAGATAAAGATGCAACAGATTTCTTCAACACATTATTTTTGGCACAAACTTTTCTAAATTCATCTTGTAGTTCATGGAATGCACTTTCAAGTTCTTTATAAAGAGTAGTTATCTCATCTTCAGTAGAGTCTTTATCTTCAAGAGCCATGAGACATAAGTTGGTTACTTCATTTTCAATTTCATTACTTGAGCTTTCATCTTCACTTTTTCCCCAAACTGCTACAATGTTCCTTTTGTTTCTTTTGTAGTCTTTTCCATGATTCTTCAATTTTGGACAATCCATCTTCATATGTCCAGGATTTTTTCACTCGTAGCAAATAATAGGCTCTTTCTTGTTATCTTTGTTGTACTCCTTCTTGAAAGGTTTTCTTCCTCCATAATTGTTTTTCTTGAAGTGCTTTTTGAGATTTCTACTAAACATGGCATAGCTTTCATCGTTACGGGGGTTTTCATGTTCTTCTTCATTTGATGAGGCTTTGAATGCAATTCCACTTTTCTTTTTATTTTCAACATCCTCATGTCCTTTCATGGTGATCTCATGAGTCATAAGGGAACCCATAAGCTCATCCAATCCAAGTGTGGAGAGATTTTTGACTTCTATAATGGCTGTGACCTTTACTTTCCAATTTTTTAGTAAACACCTAAGAATTTTTCTCACCAACTCACTGTTAGTATAAGTTTTGCCAAAAGATTTCAAAGAGTTTACAATTTCAGAAAATCTAATAAGCATACTTGAAATAGATTCATCAAAGTTTATTTTAAACAATTCATAACTATAAACAAGTATATCAATACAAGATTGCTTCACTTGGTTTGTACCTTCATACGTTACCTCAAGTTTGTCCCAAATTTCTTTTGTCGAATCACAACTTGAAATTTCTATTATACTCCTTAGAGTTTAATCTACAAACAAGGGTGAGTTTGGCTTTAGCATTGGCTTGCAATAATTTATAATCCCTCTCATCACATTCATCTTCAGTTTTAGGTACACTAATATTGTTTGCTAATTTGGTAGAAATTTTTGGACCTTTAGCGACAATAATCCACATAGCATAATTAGTGGCTTGTAGGTATATGGTCATCTTATCCTTCCAATGACTATAGCTATTTCCGTCAAACAATGATGGCCTATTTGTAGTTTGTCTTTTAGCTAAGATTGCCATAGATCGAAACTCCCAGATAGTTAAATCTAAAACAAGAGTCTAGGCTCTGATACCAATTGTTGCCCAAAAGACAACCTAAGAGGGCGGTGAATTAGGTTTTTACAAATAAAAATAATAATACCCTAATAAAAATTATGACTTGCACAATAGATAAATATAGTTAATGAAATAAAAATAATTAAAACAAGTGTTCTAACAACTATGTTAGTTAATGATTTTAGCACAGTGAAAATGTAAAATATAGTTATGGCAATTTAAATAAAATAAAGAGATAAAAGAGAGAGAGACAAACAAATTTATAGTGTTTTGATTTCAACTCGGCGTACGTCTACTCCTCAAGTTTCATTTGAGATTTTCCACTATACTCTAGCTTCACAGGATGCTAGCAATCTTTTCACAGATGGAGCAATCCTCCACAAATTTTACATAGACTTTCTAAGTCAAGAACATTGAGTGTACTACACTCTTACAAGGTTGAAAAGAAGGTGTTTTTGCTTTCACGGAAAGTTACAAGAATTATCTCTCAAAGATATATAAAAATGAAGCTCTGGTTTTTCTGTAAACCTCACACAGGAAAGATGGGCTTAAAGCTATACGTCTCAGTGTATAATTTCTAAAAGAGGATGTAAACAAAATTTGAAGAACACTTCTTAGAGAATTTTTCAGAGAATAGATGTGACTGATTATAGATCAAAGAATATTTTCTGATTTTTTTTTTAACTTGTTTACATTAGAGGCTTTGGTATATATAATGAAACTGATAACCGTTTATAGCCGTTGTACTCCATCATTACTAATTTGAATATCTTCCACTCCATTATTATTAATTTGAATATCTTCCACTTGAACCTTTTGGCCTGCTGTTGTACTGGGCTGTTTGAACCTTTGTTTGTTTTGGGCTGTTTGAACTTCTGATTTGGGCATTATTTTTGGATTGAATTGAACTCCTGATTTAAGCAAATATTAAATACATTCAAACAATATTTAGGATAAAAGTTTAAGTGAGAAATAATAGGACAAAATAAATTTTGATTATATTTTTCTCTTTCAAATAAATTAAAACATAATTTAAATAAATCATCAAAATAAATTTTAGATTCTATTAAGATATAATTAAATAAATCATCAAAAGAAATTTTGGATTCTCTTTTTCTTTTTCAAATATATTAAAATTAAATAAATCATCAAAATAAATTTTGAATTCTATTTTTCTCTTTCAAATAAATTAAAACATAATTAAATAAATTATCAAAATAAATAAACCTAACAATTTTGCCTCTTACCCTTGGAGTTGTTCTAAGCATCTCCAAAGGAGGAGGGAAACTAGCATCCTAAGGCATATTTGTTATTGCAACTAGTTTTCTTCTCCTCAAAAAGGTTCTACGTAAGAAGAGGCAATATGCACATTTGATTTTGGCTCTCCACAATTAGTTAGTTTTCATTGAGAGGCAAAATATTTTTTTCTCTGAAATTGCTCCCTCTATCTGATCAAGTATTTTTCTTTTGGTTGGTTTTGTGTTTGAATATTACATCTAATTGATTTGGTTTTGTATTTGCATATATCATTTGAAAATATAATCATTTGAAAACATTTTTAAAAAAATATATATTTGAAATGTCACGTCAACATGTGTAGCATGTCATAAAAATATTATTTATTCATTTATCTATGTTTATAATATTTTTCTTTTAAAAGTTAGTTAAGTTAGTTTGAGTATGGTTGGAAAAAATTAGCTAAACTAATTAGGCAAAATAAATAGGGCACTTTTGTGTACTTTTACAAGACATTTTATCTCTTATCCTTGTAATTGCGACATGTAAGTTTAATCCTTCAAAATTTAGTATTTTAATTTTTATTTTCAACGTTTAAATAGCAAATTAATAAATTTAAATTAAACAATTTTAAGATGAATTTTCCTATCTAATATGGTAATATGTCAAATTTATTATTCCAAATTCTTTTATTTTACCAATTAGAATGAATTGCTTTTTGACATGGACTACTAAATAATAGAAAGAATCAAAATTGACATTTCTCTCAACCACACCAAATTTGTCTGAGCGCACGTCACATAAGCATTACGAGTTTTTATTCCAATCCTGTTTGTAATATTTGCCAACTCTGAATAGAGTTTCGGTGCTCAAATGTGCTTTGAATTTGAACTCTTTCACGCTGGTTTAAACTGCAAATTTTTGCATAAATCCCATTTACAACTCATAATTTGTTGCTCAATCCATTTAGAACTTGTTTGTGTTGGGTATAGTTCAAAATAGCTGCGAAGAATGCTTGCAATCATATAATCAAAGCAAAACAAGCTTGTAAAATCAAAGCACAACTTCATTTGAACCAACTGAAATCAATACTAGTATTTACTACTACCAAAAAACCAGTGAAAACAAAAAGCAATAAAAAAAAAAGATCATAGATAAGATAATAATCATCAAGTTATTTCAGGGCTAATTCTTCATGTGTATGCAACAATTTAAATCCAGAAGCTGGTCACACATATTTAGTAGGCTCTCCTCCCTTGCCCATTTCAACCCCTCCATTCGGATAATTGACATCTGTCATGAACCTTGACCAGAACCAATGTTCCCTCCATACGACAACCATCTCTTCGATTGGAATATTCTTGGTCTCAGGCAAGAAAAAGAACACAAAGACAGTCATCACCACCACGAAGAACGCGAAGAAGATGAACAAACCAAACTTCAAGTGACAGAGCATTGTTAAGAAGATTTGAGCAACGATGAATGTGAAGATCATGTTGACCGAAACATTAATACTCTGAGCGGCTGATCGGATTTCGAGAGGGAAAATTTCACTAGGCACTAGCCAACCAAGAGGTCCCCATGACCAAGCAAAACCTGCAACATAGAGACATATGAAAAGTACCACAACTATGGCATACCATTTGGGCAATTCACCAGGGTTCCCATCTATTCCAAATTTAGCACCAATGCAAGCTGCAACTACAATCTGTCCATAACAAAAAGCAAATCAATAAATAACTTGTTAACATAACAGTTAAGAATTATCGGTCTCTAAAATCGATACTTTTAAGTCCCCAGTGCACTCCTAGCCATATGATGTGATGGGAATCTCGAAACATTATTCTGCAGTTAGGAGTACGTGAAACACAACAATTGATGAACAAAAACAAATGATGGATTTTTGTTTTTTTTTCCAACATACAAGTCATTTTAAAATAGAAATACAAAAACAAATGATGAGTTGAAGTTGAGTTTTCACAACATGCAACGTGACTTGAGCCCTGAAGTATTGTTTTCAAAACACAACTTCATGAAACAGCCTGAATTTGAAAAACAAGTTTAGAATTGCTTGGATTTGAAAATCCTATACCTGGCAAATGAGCATCTGAGCACCTCCTTCAAGGAACAAAAATCTCCTTCCCCACTTATCAACACCATAAATTGAAACCAAAGTCGCCAAAACATTCACACCACCAGTGATCACAGAAGACATGAGCGAAGCATTACTTCCAAAACCGATTGTTTTGAACAAAACCGGTGCATAAAACATAATCACATTAATCCCAGTAAGTTGTTGGAAAAATGGAATAAGAATAGCCATTGTAAGTTGAGGTCTATATTTCCTTTGCAAAAGGTTTCTCCATGGATGCTCCACTTTCATAGATGCCTCACTAGCCACAACAAGATCATTGAATTCCTCTTCAACATCATCAATGCCACGAATTCTTTTGAGCTTATCTTTGGCTTCATCGCGCTTACCTCGCTCAATCATGGAGTTGGGGGTCTCGGGAAGGACTAATGATCCAACGGTGATTATGAGAGCAGGGACCACCGCGCCTCCCAAACTCAACCGCCATCCCCAACCGCCTTTGATCTTAGCGAAGAAGTAATTCAATATGTTGGCTATTAATATGCCAATTGTGATTGATAATTGAAAACCAATGTTGAGTGCACCTCTGTACTTGTAAGGGGCCATTTCGGAGAGGTACAGTGGCACAGACTGTAATTAATTACAAATCATAAACAATATGCGTCAATATTTCATTCATTTTTTTTAAAATAAAATAAAATAAAAGAAGAAGATGTTTTCTGTCATTTTCTTTTGTAGACAAGCAACAAGTGCTAGTATGATTGCAAAATTGAATAATACGACCACTGTGATTAAAATTTTGACGAAAATAAAAAGAGAATTTGGGTCCACGTGTTTTTGACAGGTTTGGAGAATAGTCAGTAGGATTTTTATATTTAATTCGACCAAACCAAGAAAATTTTTTAAAAACAGAACATTACAGCACACTCAATATCTAATTTAATATTGTGAAGCCGTTTTCAAATCAATTTTCAGTTTTTGTTTGTATTCAATGACTTTGCATTCACGAGCTAAACAATTGCAAAAAATGGGAACATAGAGAAAAACAAGTCATCAAATAAGATAAAGAATAAAAAATGGCTAATTTCATATTTAACAAAATTTAAATATTAAAAACTAAAATGATACAAAACACACAAAATATCAAAAATATAATCCTATCCCAAAAAAATTGGATTAGTTTTACTTAGCAACTAATCATGGACTAATTTTTTATTCATAAAATAATCTCAAAGTGGAATATAATCCACCACCAATTGAACATAGAGGCCATGTTTGATTCACAACACTAATAGTGAGTTATTAATAATCCTATTAAATTAGTGTGGTATTAGTTATCCCACCCCTACCCCATTACTAATAATCCTACAAACTTGTTGGATTAATTATCCATTGGATTAATAATCCTAAACCAAAATGTCAAAACAAACATAGGATTATTGGGCCCACGGATTAATAATCCCAATCCTATGCTTTAATCATTCCAATCAAACATACCCAGAAGATTTGAATTGATTAAAGGCATTTCTTTCACTCTTCATTTCAAAAACCCAGAAAAAAATACAAAGAAAAAAGAAGTGAGAGCATCAGAGAGAGAGGTGAATCAAGAGATCTGCAAAAGAACTTAGTTGGATCAGAGTATCAGACTTTAGCTCTGTACCAAAAAACACATATCTGTCATCTTTTGCAAAAGATATGAAGAAAATAGTGCATTGGAGGCACTTTTCGTAATTGTAAGAATCAGAAGCAATGAAATATTTAAAAAAAAAAAAAAAAAAAACATATATTACAAGAGTCAAGACAAACGCAAAGTAAATAAAATTCCAAAACTCTGTTGTGTTGTATTTTTACAAAGTAAAAAGCTAGTAACCCAGATTTATAGTACCAGAATTTACCGAGAATTAATTTGTGTGGTAAAAGATTAAATTGTCCGTGAAATAAATTTGAACTATTAACTATTATTTCTTTCTGAATGAAAATTCCTGAGTTTGTAGTCCATTAACACAAGTTTTGTTCTTCTCGTTGAGCCAAAAACAAAGCAAAAATAATATCCAAACAAGCATATTCATGTACTGTACATATCCTAGAGAGAACAAGTTGAAAATATAGTGAGACAGAGAGAGAGAGGGTATTTATTACCTGATTGGCAAATCCAATACCAAAACCAAGCAAAATACGACCCACAATTAGCATCCAAACAGCCTGAGCAAACCCATTAACAAAAGCTCCAGCACAGAACAGCAAACCTCCGAACAACATCGACAATTTCCTCCCCAATTTCCTCGTCACCGTCGAAGCAACGAGAGACGATAACAGAGCAGCCAAATACAGAGACGAAGTGAACATTGTCAGAGTGAAACTATCAAATTTACAATACTGATTCGTCGAAGAATCTGCTTTTTGTTTCGCATACACAGATGGAAAAAATTTCTTCAAAAACGAATCCATAGATGTCACTCCACCTACATAGACCCAAATACAATACAAACCCATTAATCAAATCTCTGTAAATCTCTCTAAAATATCTGAAAATAACAACAGACAAAGATTTAAAACATAAAAAAAAAAACACATATATGTACCGGAGATTCCGATATCGTAACCGAAAATCAAGCCACCCATAGCTGCAACCATGCAAGTAATGGTGACATAGAGAGTGAGGTTTCCGGGATATTCCTTTCCGGTACCGGTACCGGGACCGAAACCGCCGGCGGGCATGTTTGGGTCTTTGTTTTTCGCCGGAAAAGAGAGGTTTAGAGAGAGAAATGAAAGGGGTCGTGAAGAGTAATGACAATGGTGAAGAAAACAGAGGTTAAACAGAGAAAGTCTAGTGTATGTAGACAGAGAGAGACAGAGAGGGAGAGAATGGTGAGTAGACTTGGTAGGTATTTATAGGACGATTTTGGATTTTGTAAATGTATTTTCTTAAAATTTGGGAAGTAATATTAGCTGTCAAAAAATTATATTTAAAAATAAAATAAATTTGATTTGGTATTAAAGGCAACATTTTAATTTTTTGGGAAATGAAAGTGGATAAGATTTTAAGGTTGTGTTTGATTGGGAGGATAAGAGGGGAGATTATTTATTGTGCGGATTGTAATTTGTACAGTAAATTCAATTCGATGTTTTTTTTTTTTTTAGTCTGTTGGACATAGAGTCCGGTCGGACTCCTTATCCCCCATATGTGAGATTATATTGTCCGAGGGGTATGAGACAATTCTCATGGGATAATTTACTGTTAGGATTAGGTGGTGAAATGACCATTTTGATTCTCTACTATTTAATTATGTATTATATTTAGTAAAATTCAATAAAATTTAAATGTCTCAATTTAAAAATAAAATAATTTTATTTAACTTTTTATTGATGTTTTATTTATTTAATTTTTTAAAAATAATTTATTTATAGATATTTTATTTTAAAATTTTGCTTATATTTTATTTAATTTCATTATTTAAATTTTAATAGATGTTTTATTTAATTTCATTGTTTAATTATTATTATTTTTAAAAACAAATTTATTTAAAATTTTAATTAAAAAAATAATATAAATTATTTATTGATATTTTATTTATTTAATTGTGTAAAAAAAAAAATAAAATAATTTTTTATTTAATCTAGCTAAAAATAATTAAAATAATAAAAATATGTTTACTATTGCTATTACTTAGTAAACAATTGAAAAAGGGTCATGAAAAAATAAACACAGGATACATATCCAATCCAACCAAATAGTCCGGAAGATTCACAGTGCCAAAACTCAAGTCCGATAAATTTTATTCCCTCTTTATCTAGTCTGTCCAATCAAACACACCGTAAGTGTTTGAAATTGTAACGCCAGTTGAATTTGCCATGTGCCATTGAATAATAGTAGGAATAAAATAAAAAATTTAAAAATATATAATTATACTTTACTTATTTTTATTTTAAATTTAATGAATCAAACACCCCCTGAAAATTTTGAGAAAAGAATGCTGGAAAAGGATCACTGCTAGCAATCAAAGTTGTGGAGTTCCCACATATCATATGCGGGAGGAACCATTAAGAGTAATCCACGTCAGCAATTAGTCATAATCTTTTTAAGAACAGTAATGCTAAGTATCATGAAAAATTTTTCATGAAAATAATCATGAAAGATTTGTGACTCTTGGATTACATTTATAATAAAGCACCACATACTAATCAAGATAATCTAAGGATCATAAATTTTTTATGATCATTTTCATAAAAAAAATTTCATGATCCCTAACTTTTCTCTTTTAAGAAAGGTCAATTAGTCATAATCTTGATCATAGGGTCATTTTGAGAACAATAGTAAAAAGCCAATTTTTTTACTTTTTTAGCAAAAAAAAGTCAATTTTTTTTATCCAAAACAACTCAGCTTTTTGTTCAAAGAGTCAAAAAATTAATTTTTTATCAATTTTCTAAAACACCACATAGTTTCGATACGCTATTAGGATAAGGAAATGTGATAATAGTTTTTTTGACACGTTTACCGATGGTTTGGATAGGGTGTATTTAGGCCTCGTTTGACAAGTGAATTTTTTAGTTAAAAAGTCAAAAAATTATTAAAAAAGCCACAAAATTAATAACCTATACCAAAAAGTCAAAGATTCCCTTTTCCTCTACTTTTTGCACATCTTTTCGTAAAAAGTTAAAAAGTCATCCTAAACATATTAACTTTTTTTACATCATATTTTAGTCAAAAAATTAAAAAATTACTAAAAAAATATGTTCCTAGACAAGGTCTTAGTAGTTTTTAAATACTCCCTCCGTCTCAAAATATTAGTCCCTTATTCCATTTTTCATTGTCCCAAAATATTAGTCCCTCTTCAAAAACCAAGTACAAAAATAATATAAATTTCCTATTTTACCCTTCTTTTAAATTAATAAACAACATAAAAAGTACAATTATGCATTGATATTCCCAAAAAATGTACTATCAAAAGGATAATTTTGGAAAATCAACTTTTTTCAAATGCAATAATTGTACTACCAAAAAAAGTTGGATTCCCCGAAAGGGACCATTATTTTAGGACGGAAGGAGTATATATATATATATATAATAGAGAGACAGTGTGATTACTTGTAATAAAAAAGCAAAAAATTTGTTTATTTTTGGTGTTACCAAACCAAGTCTTAAACCAGTAATAATATAAACTTGGACTTGAATACTTAAAAATTATTAGTATAATACCTATGTTATGTAATCTATATTATTTAGTAAAATTTTGTTGATTAGGAACATGCTAGATGAAAGAAGGAAGAGTATTTTAGTGTCAATCTATAAAAATAAAGAAAATGTCCAGAATTGGAACAACTATGGAGGAATCAAGTTAATTTGTCATATAATGAAAGTGTAGGAGAATGTGATGAAACGCTGATTGCGAGATATAACAGAAATGGTAGAGAATCAATTTGGATTTATGCCTGGCAGGTCAACAATTGAGGCGATTTATCTTTTGATGAGAGCAATAGAAAAGTATAGAGAAAATAAAAAAGACATTCATATGGTATTTATCGGCCATGAGAAAGCAAATGATAGAGTATCCCGTGATACAATATGGTGGGTGTTAGAGAAAAATGGAGTGATAAAATGTTACATTGATGTGATTAGGGACATGTATGAATGGACGGTGACCACTATTAGATCGCCTGCTAGAGAGACAATGAATTTCCTATCACTGTAGGGTTACACCAAGGATTTACTTTAAGTCCTTATCTTTTTGCTTTAGCTATGGATGAATTGACGAGAAATATTTAGGATAACGTGCCATGGTATATGCTTTTTACAGACGATATTGTGTTAGTGGATGAGACTAAAGAAGAAGTTAACACAAAGTTAGAGATTTAGAAAAAAGCTCTTGAATCTAAAGGATTTCAGATAAGCAGAACTACGACAGAGTACATAGAGTATAAATTTAGTAACAGTAACAATGAAAGTAGAGGAGAAATGAAGATTGAGAACTAAGAACTGCCTAAGAGTGAACATTTTCGTTATTTAGGGTCAATTATCACAACAATGGGGGAGATTGATGCAAATGTAGCCCATAGGATTAAAGAATGATGGTGTAAGTGGAGAAGTGCGTCTGGGATGCCGTGCGATAAGCGAATATCCACTAGACTAAACAGTAAGTTCTATAGAACGACTATTAGACTAGCAATATTGTATAAGACGGAGTGTTGGGCAACTAAGAAACAACATGTAGATAAGATGGTTGTGGTTGAGATGAGGATATTGAGGTAGATGTGTGGCAAGACTAAACAAGACAGAATTAGGCATGAGTGTATTCGGGAATGGGTATGAGTAGCACCGATAGAAGATCAGTTGAGAGAGAATTGATTAAGATGATTTGGTTACATTCAACGGAGACCAACAGAGGCAGTAGTGAAGTGATGCGATACTGTAACGGTAGATGGGAGTGTTAGGAGACGGGGTAGACCTAGATTAACACTGGCTAGCATTGTAAATAGAGATATGGATCTATTTAATTTGACTAACGAAATGGCCATTGATAGGGCCGCATGGAGAAGAATGATTCATGTAACCGACCCCATTTGATGGAACTTAAAGCATGGTTTGGTTTGATTTGGTTTTACATGTAATTTTTATTTTTTTTTAAATAAAAAATTTGATAAATATTTTAAAATTTTGAGATTATATAAGATTGCAGTTATATTTGAAATTTCTAAACATCACATGTAATTGCAGTTATAACTAATTTTTTTTCTTACTTTCCATATAAAAACTTTTAAACAACGAAATTATAGATAAAATTAAATGGGCCAACTCACCATATTAATAATCAAAGAAAAATAAAAAAATTTACCATATTGATTATTAGAGTATTTAATGAAATGATAAGAAAAATATTAATAAAATAGAAATAATTAAAATTACAAATGTTTTTTTTTAATAATACTATATGTACCAATTGATATATTAATTAGTGTATTAACAGGTGATATGGAATAATTTTAGAGGTTTTGAATATTTGTAATTTGTATAATGGGTGGAGTTAATAACAATGTCATAACATATCTTGGTACACTAATTGATATACCAATTAGTGCATGTAGTACCACCGTTTTTTTTAGAATACACCAAAAATTTGATCCAATTTTCAAGTCTAGTGATGTGACAATCAATTAGAATATTAAAAGTAACATTCTCTCTCATATTTTCTCTAATTATCAATTAATTATATCACTTACACATCATTAGGTCTAAAAAATGAGTCTAAAAAGTAAACTTGTATATCATTTTATTTTTTGTTTTTTTATTTAAAAATTTAGATTAGAGATTTGAGGCTCAAAAAAATAATAATATATGTTTTTGCTTACATAATAGTATAGATATATTATTATATTGTGTCTAATATGAGCTAGTTTTGGAGGCGCTAATATTGAATTAATCATTAAAAATAGCTCAGAAAGTGAGTTTGAATTGATTTTTAAGTTAATTCAGGGCTCCAGTCTTGTTATTGGAGAATTGTCTTAGTTCATACCCAATCAATGAGTTGGCTCACTTATTTATTTAATTCTTAAATTGGTAAATATTTTTTGAATGATAAATGTACAAGTAAATATTTTGATGCCTAAAAATTCTAAATTTTTTGGACGCCACATGTATTTTTTTAGATTTTAAAGATAAAAAATTTAATTAATATCTTTAAATAAATAAAGACTACAATTATATTTGGAGCTTCTTTTTAAAAATATTTAAATTTCAAATTAGATAAGGATTAAATATGTTTAAATTTTTATTTTTATTTTTATTTTTTATTTTCTATGTATAGATTTTTCAATTTTGAAATTATAGATACGATTAAATGGGCCAACTCAAATTATTGCAGATTCTTTTCTACATTTATAA